CTGCAGGGGCGCGGGCGCCCAGTACAGCCCGCAAGGCCCGGAGCCGCGGGAGCCGAGTGTTTACACGTGTGTTGCTTTTAACGATTTAGATTTAAATTCACACACGTGTGGGTTGCAGGTGACGTATAAGATGTGTGTGTGTGTGTGGGGGGGGGTGTTTTGTGTTTTTTTTAAATATTTTTAAAAAATTTTTATTTCAGAGAAGAAGGGAGAGGGGGGAGAGAGAAACATCAATGATGAGAGAGAATCCTTGATGGGCTGCCTCCTGCACACTCCCTACTGGGATTGAGCCATAACCCGGGCATGTGCCCTTGGCTGGAATCGAACCCGGGACCCTTCAGTCCGCAGGCTGGCGCCCTGTCCACGGAGCCACATCGGCTAGGGCAGAGGCGCAGTTGTTTTGAACTCCAGATAATGACCAGGGCACACGGTCATGAGACACTGCACAGTGACCGCTGGGCACCTGAAACGCAGTGGCACCGGCGTCCTGTATTCCATCGGGCAGCCCTCCCGGTGACCAGCAGACAGAGGTCACAGCTGCAGGAGACAAACGGAGGGACACGTGGTTAGGGACCCAGGTTAAAGCCAGCGACCCAGGCCGAGGTGCCGCAGGGCCCAGCTCTGGCTGTGGCCTCCTGCCAGGACACGGCCAGGGGTGTGGGGGGCAGGGTGGTGTCCTCACCCCGTGGATCTTGTCTGACCGGGGGAGCGGGCATAGTCCCTGCAACGGCGCCCCTGGGCCTGGGCCTGGGCCTGGGCCTGGTCCTCTGCTGCCTGACGGGTTAAGGGGCGAGGAACACGGGGCTAGGGTTGGGGACATGGGGAGAAACCTACTTGTGCTGGGCATGGAAGAACTTGATGAGGCTCTGCAGGAAGTCAGGGCCTTGCTTCATCTGGCTCTCCCCGGCTTTCAGCAGATGGCAGGGCCCGGGGAGCCCTGGGCCCCCCGCCAGGATCCTCCGATTGCAGCCGAGGTGTTTTCGTCTGAGGGCCGTCTGCGCTGCGGCCTTTGTCTGTCTGCTACTGAAATTTCCTGTCTCTGTTATTCTCTTCTCCAGTAAGACCATCTGAAACCCAAAACTTTTATTGCCCCTTTTAAAGAGCCTTTATAGCCCCTGTGCACCTCCTACCCCTGCAGCGAGCTGCTATTGTAGTTAGGGGAGCGCTGGGCTGGGCGCAGCCACCGCAGGGCCTTGGCCCAGGAGCCCGGGAGAGCGGGGCCAGGTATGTGGGCAGGACGGTCCTGCCGAGTGGGCAGGGAGCCCCGGTGTGAATCTGGCTGCCGGGGAGCTGATGAGCTGGTTAACAAAGCTGGCTGAGCCACGCAGGCCGGCGGGGACGGGCCGTCTGCCACAGGGGGGCCCTGCCTGCCTTCCCGGCGAGCGCCCCGGTTTCCTCACCTCTGACTGGGAACGGCAGCCTCACCCCGCTGGCCACTCAGGCCCGTCAGCCTGAGTTAAATCAGAGGCTGGCTACACTGGACAGATCTTGGGAAAGTGAAAAAGGCAGAAAAAGGAGCAGGAGGCTGGCGGGGGGGTGGGGGGCGAGGAGGTTCAGGTGTCCAGGTGCAGACACGGGCCTGGGAGCCAGGCAGGCATGGGGCTCCGTTTTTCCTTCAGGGCTAGAGGCAAGCTCCCCAAAGTCCCCCGGTTCCCTCAGCCTCAGTTTCCCCATTTGCAACAAGGCCCACCTTACATGCTTATTGCCAAGATTAAATGAGGTCATTGAATATGAAGCACTTAGCACAGGGTTTGATAAATGGCATCTTTAAAAAAATAGCATCATTATTACTTTCATTATCAGTGGTCGTGGGCAAGCAAGCAAGTCTCTAGAATGTCATAGAGGGGTCCTCACCACCAGGGACACCGCCCACCCCCGGCTGACACCAAATACCCCCATTTGCCAAGGAAACAAAATGCTTAAACCAAGTGTGTGTTAGGGACGAAAGGATTAAGCAAGGAAGGCTGCCTGGAAGAGGCGGTTTGAGACTGAAACTAGGAAAGCAAAGCGGACTGAACCGTGTGAGCCGGCAGTTCCACGGTGTCTGGGTCTGGCTACCCCCTGTGCCTTCACCCACTCCCCCAACCCCCGCCGCCTCCTGCAAACTTCCCGTCAGAGCAGCCAGAGATCAGCTGCCCGTGGGGAGAAGGGTGCCCACAGCTGGGCTCTCCTTGCTTCCGTCACTGGCCTGAGTCCCAGGACAAGGCAGGGGCGGGTTTGGGCAGGCGGGTTCAAGATCAAAGTGGAGGAAGATGCCGGCTGCTCCGGGCTCCGCTCCTGCAAGGCCTCGGACAGGACGTCAGGGCAGACGTGAGCTGGCCTCCTGCCCCGGCCTCGCGCAGCGAAGGTTCGTCCCCTGCCCCAGCTCTTCGCCGGGGTTCAGTCTGTCCGATGCCTGACCTGGCCCAGCAGGAAGCAGGGGCCCAGCTCCCTCGAGGCCCAGTTCACGCACCACCTCCCCCCGAGTGCCCCAGAGGCCAGGCAGCTTTCTAGGTTCACGGGGACCAGCCAGTCCTTCCAAACCCGCACAGTAGGGCGGCAGAGAGAGGTGAGGGGTGGGGTGTACCGCTCCCTGGCCTGCAGAGGAGGGGGCAGGGGTCTGGGGAAGCGGGAACTGCAGGGCCGACGTGGGCAGGGGGTGAGCCGGAAGGGT